AGGGATTAGAGGGGTTATATAGGGTAAATAGGGTTCAGGGCTCTAGGTGGAAGGTCGGTTCTGGGCGTAGGGTTTAGGATTGAGGGCGTAGGCTTTAGGTCTAGGGTTAAGGGCTATGGACCGAGGATCTGTGTAGGATGTAGCGTTTAGAGGATTTGGATACCAGTTCAGGTTTTTATTGGGCTTTAGGCTTTGAAGTTCAGATTTAGACGGGGTTTCGCCTTGCATCATGGGTCCCACAACTACCCCGCATTTACTACCCGTCTGAATGTACCCCCTTAATTAAGTTTAAGGTTTAGTGTTGAGGGATAGTGTATTCGGGTGCACAGAGATGTGCAGCATTTTAGCAGGTATGCCTGGAACGTGGGGATGATGCAGTCAGGGTTTAAGGTTTAGGGGTGTGTTCTGGAGCCTATGCAAGATTCCCTAAACTCTATACCCTACTTGGAGGGCTTGGACAGGGTACATCCCGAAGGTTCCCAAGGGGCCGCCCTGTTTCAGAAATTTCCATGTAATTAGGTGGAAGGCGAAGCACCCCGTCGTTAAAGAATATGCCTCTAAACCCTAAACAATGCTAGTATTATTTTACAGTGTATTCTTTCTGTAAGGTGTATTGGGATCTCTGTCTTTGGTTTCTAGGGGGAGGTCAGGTCTTCCGGCTGCAGTTGCTGGTTTAAGTTTTAGGGTTTGGGGTTTAGGGTTTCTCTTTTGAGTTATCCCTCTAATCAGGTGTAATGATTACTGAGATGTGGGTCTTTGACCCGAACTAGCATGCAACCCATACAGGCTCCTTTTCACGTTATATAACGTCCGTTTTCGGATTTCACGTTAGTTTGGGGAAAGTACCTGACGCTACAGGTTTTGCCTACGATGCTTGGCTTGATGTTGAACTGTTTAGCCCTAAATGAGGGTTTCTCAAAATGAGGGGTTCGTACTTTTTCGGGGGGTCCCTATAATAAGGGTTACAGTATTTTGGGATCTCTAATTATTTGGGTTCCCCGGTTTTGGGAAACTACTAAACAGAGTAACCTGCCCTGAACAAGGTTAAGACGTCAAAAAATATTGGGAATAAATCCTTGTTTAATAGCTAGGTTTCAAGCCTCAAGCCCTAAACCCTGAAGCATTATCCTTGGTGCCAGCTAAGACGTTCTGATTTGGAGGTAGAGCGTTCGTGAGGGTCTGCTGATTTTTTCTGAGAGCCCAGTACACCTTAGCCAAAGAACAAAGTCATATCCCAAACATACTAGGTTCCATTGTATGATTTAAGGAATTTAAGAAATATCCCTTAACAATCAGGTTCCATATGATGTAAGGAGTATTCCTGAATTCAGGGATATGTACTAGGTTCCGTAATGTGATTTGCAGAATAATACCTAATACCAGGTTCTATGATATGAATAGCCCTTACTTATTACACCACCCTCCCACCAATGAAAGTCGGCTCCAGGATATGGCTTAAGGAGCATTCCTTGAGTAAGCCTTTCCATATATCTACTTGAAGGCCAAGTATATACTATATGGCCACCCCCCAAACCCTAAACCCTAAACTCTTAACCCTAAACCCTAAACTCTGAAATCTAAAGCCTAAACTCCTAAACTCCTTAACCCTAAACTCTAAAGCCTAAACTCCTCCCATAAGGCCACAAATGGCCCGTCGGGCCCATGCAGGTTCTGTCCCTCACCCGTGAGTACGGACCAGGTGACCTTGGTACAGCAGGCAGTTTCGGGGTTGGGGTTTACAGTCCCCCTTAAGTAGGGTTTAGGGTTTAGGGTTTAGGGTCAGGATTTAGGGTTCAGGATTTAGGGCGTAGGCTTTCGTGGTTTAGGGCTTCAGCTTTAGGGTTCAGCGTTTTGGGCTTTGGCTGTAGGGTTTAGGGTTCAAGGTTCATGGCCTAGGCTTTAGGGTTCTGGGTCTAGGTTTGACGTTGAAGCCTTGTTTATTCTCCTTGTCCCCAATGGTGATGTATATAAATTAGCCTCCAATTGGCGTGACTTCAGGTTCTGGAATGACTCGACAATAGCCAGCTCGTGTGATGGATGAAACTTAGGGTTTCCAGTTTGTGCTACTTAGAGCAGGAAGTCAAGTATCTGGGGGATTCAATCGAACGAGACGAGGGGGAGGAACAACTTGTAAGCAAACCGCAAAACCCGGAGGCGCTGGGCTTCAGGGCTCCTACCAAACGAACAGTCGTTTTTTGAAAGGGCTACTACTACAGCCCCTCATAAATAAAAGGATTACATGTCTATGTAAGTATACTTCTGAACATCTATCCTCATAAGCCTACCCTCGACGGATCTCTCTAGTTGTGTCTTCAAACCTAAACATCCCAAAAGCCACCCCAAATCAAACATCCGAATTATTGTCACTAATAGCCAGTACTACTGCTGCCAGCCCGATGGCTACTGATAGTGCTAGTACTTTTGCATATTTACTGATTCACTATTCTGGCTGATCAGTACGCGAAACTTCCATAAGCATTCAGTATGATTCGTGGTATCATTATTGCTGCTAGGGCTGCCGCTGCTGCTATTTTTCTTTACTACTACTCTACGACGACGACGACGACGACGACGACGACGACGGACGACGACGACTACTACTACTACTACTACTAAGAGGAGGAGGAGGACGACGACGACGACGCGGACGAGTTATTTTGTTAAGTATGTTTCCCAAACAAGGGGTGCCAACATAGACCCCAACAATTCTATAATCCTTTTGGGAAACTCTCAAATGTCCTTCAACCCTAAACTGCAAGCCCTAAACCCTAAAGCCCTAAAACCCTGAACCCTAAAACCCCTTAACCCTAAAACCCTAAAACCCTGAACCCCTCAACCATCATTGGGAAGGAGCGCTTAAAAAAAAAAACTAAACCCTAAAAACCCTAAAACCCTAAGCCCTAAAACCCCTGAACCCCTCAACCATCATTGGGAAGGCTACCTTCGATGTCTGCACGCCCACCGCTGTAGCTCGGCCTGTAAACGCCTTGGGCTTCATCCCATCAATGCCTCCAAGTCACTCGGCCTGTGGGGGTGATGTTGTAGGATTTGGGGGTTCAGGGTTTAGAGTTCAGGGTTGAGGGTTCAGGGTTCAGAGTTTACAGTTCTGGGTTCAGGGTTTAGGGTTCAGGGTTCGGGGTTTGGGGATTATAGGGCCTACGGCTTGCCAGGTTGAAAGTCGAGGGTCCCACTGAACTAGAATAGTGGGAAAATCAAATGATGTAGGAGACGGAAGCTGGGACTGTAGTATGGGTTCTTAGGGTTTAGGGGCCTGAGACATTAGATTAGGTTTTTCAGGGTCATTGTGCTATAGTTGTGTAAGGCTTCTAAAGGGAGAATAGTGGAAATCATTGAGGTTGCTGCAGTAGCTTGGCAGTCTCTTCATAAACCCCGTTCAAGGACACATACTGGAGGGGGGAATGAGCCAACCTACATGATAGACTGGTAGACCCGATCCTTTGAGAAGTCCACTTCAGGGTAGGGACGGTGACGTCTCTTGCAGGGCAGCTTGGGGCTATCGTGGCAGGTTTGTGACTACAACTCATGTGGAGCCAGGCAGAACCATGCGGCCTTAAGCGGGTGCAGGAGAGGGAGGTGCAAGGGCTGCGGTGTCCACGGAAACCGTTTCAATCGGCCCCTTCAAAGCTGAAAAGCCTTTCCCAGGGAAATACTTGAAAGTGAAGAGGATACATAAGATGAGACTGACCTGATGAAGGTTGAGGCAGCATGTTTGAACCTGTAGAGATTCACCATGATCCCAAAGACCTTGAGTATCACGACTGTATTGTATAATTCCTGCCCCAAAACTGAAAGTCCTCTGGGCCTTAGGTGGAGGTGAGTAGCATACCATCTACAGGCTTTAGGGTCGGGGGTTGATTATTTACAGAGGTAGAGCCCCAGGGTTCACTGGGCGTTTGGCCAAGGTTGAGGCAAGTGGGCCGTTCACAGACAGCGGGCTCCACTAACAATAGCTGGCAGTGCTTCGGCTGAAGGGTTTCGGCCTAGCTGGTTGGCCTTTCCCTAAACCCTAAACCCTAATCCCTAAACCCTAAACCCTAATCCCTACACCTATTTGGATAATTTCCCTCATTGGTTCCATGAGGACCCTATATACTAATATTTTCAACGGGCTCCAAAGGCCAACCAAGAAAATTAGGGGTCACGTTGGCCTAGGGTTTAGTGTTTAGAGGACCTGGTAATGTAGTTATACGTAGCAAAAACAATTGTGAATTACCCTGAGCCTCCAGGTTTCGCGTTATGTGCTTTGAGGTTAGGGGTGCAGATTTTAGGGGCGTAGGGACGGTTAGAGTTGGGAATTGAGGGTTATAGTGAGGGTTTAGGGTGGTCATTGAAGGTTAGCAAGGGTTGAAGGGCTTGAGGGTTTAGGCATGAAGGTGAAGATTTGTGGTTTCGGAATGTGCCTTGAACCCTAAACCCTAAACTACGAAACCCGAGTCTTGTGGCTTCAGACATGCAGGTGGAAGGTTTACTGCGAAAAGGCCTTGAGTATTAGGGTTCAGGTACAAGATCGCACCAATCATTAAATCATTACGGATGATGGAGAATCAGAAGGAAAAGAACATGGAAATGAAATGGACACTACTGTAGTATTCGGGTGGCCATAGACCCTACTTTTATAAGTCAAAGTTGGTAACCCTAAACGACCAAATTATGACTCTATGGTTATCGCTTGAGTATAACCCTAAGGGTCCAGGTACCTAATAATCATATACTCATTACCCAATACCTGTACTATCATTCCTATTACCCAAAACCGAAGTACCTAATTATTGGATACTTGGACCCTTTGGCCAAAAGCGTCCTGATGTAGCGGCTCGCAGATATCAAAATCCCCTTACGATACCTAGACCCTAAAAGCCTTCATCTAGACCCTAAAAGCCTTCAGTTCTAGGACGCTATAGGAAGGATCATTATAGGACACCCGAAAAAAGCTTGAGGTCGCTTGGGTCAACGTGAACCGTAAACTATAGCAGAGGCTTATGCTCCCACAAGCTAACGTGAACTCCGATGGAATCCCTTATTGAAAAGATAGCGCGGAAGTCTTTATAGGGCCCCTTTTTGAGGTTTCCCGTCATTTTAAGCAGGATAGGCTTTAGGACGGACGGATTGCAACCAGTGCTCTGGATGTGTCAGGTCTAAGATTTGGGGTTAGGGTGTGGTCTGGAATGGGGGAGTGCATGGAATTTGCCTTTCTCAGCCCTAAACCCTACACCCAAAAATCAACTTTGAACAATTGTTTCAACACCCTAAAGCCTTGGCCCTCAATCCTGTCAACCTAGACGTCAGCTCCAGAACTTAAAGCTCGAAACCTTACACACTGAATTGGATCTTGATCCCTGAATGTGTCTGTGGCCACACCCGGTAAGCCCTAAATCCTACTTCACAGCAGGCGCATGATAGTTTTGCTAAGCATTCCATGCATAGTCTGGAGGCCCAAGCGGTTTGGGGTTGCGGGTATCCTTGCCCAGAGGCAGCCCTACTCTGAGAAAGCAAGTTTCTGGAAGATGTAATCCTTGCACAATGAACATTTCACCGCAAGTCCGCAGCCTACGTATAGGTGGTTCTCAAAATTCTGGGCCCCTGTTTTTTACGGATTATATTTCGGCAGCTAATTTTTACGGGTACCTAAATAGGACCCCAATTTTCGGAACTACCCACCCTAAACCCTAAATCCCAAAGCTTTGGACCTTCAACCCTGAACCCGAAGCACCCACAACCCGCTCGAAACTCTTTGCATCCCTATGAGCCCTTCCATATCTCTTTCAGGGTTGAGGGTTTGGGGCATACCTCTCAGATTAAAACAGTGGGCCCCCAGTAAGGGCCCTTAAGCTTGGGGTCCCTCTATATGGGGGTTGCTCTAAAGGTTTAGGGTCTGAGGTTCAGGGTCTTAGGTGTAGGGTTTAGGTCTAGGGTTAGGGCTATCCTAGTTGGGAATACAGGTCCGTAAAGGGAAATCCGAGCCTAAAACGGACCCTACCTTACGGCCGTTTTTGGGAGGTATCTTGAGCCGCCATTATATATGTATATGTATGTATAAATGTATGTATATGTGTAGATATGTGTGTATATATATACACATGCATACCCTTAGGGGCCCCAGAATCCCCGTCACAAGGTGAAGAGAGCAGACTTCCAAAACAATAGAGGCCTACCCTTTATCCTAGACTCTGCGTACCCCTGCAGACTCTACCCTAAATCCCAAGTCCTGGATTCCTTCCAAGTCATTCCGAAACCACAGTTTGCGTTTAATTCTGCACCCTAAACCCAAAGCCCTAGATCAGAGGCACTTCAATGGGAACCCATACGGAAAACCCCAAGAACATAGTAGGACTATAATGAGACTACAGTATACCTACCAGGGTCCCTATATTCCTAGTAGAGACCAAGCCATAATTAGTCTAAACTCCTAGTATCCCCCTTGATAGCCCCGTGCTAGCCCACTACGTAATCCCCTGTATAACCCCCTTCAAGGAGTTTAGACCCTGAACCGTAAACCCTAAACCCTAAATAATAGTTTCCATTTCCTTTTCCAGTATCCCAATATAACTCCTATGTAACCTTAATATTACCCCTAAAGCTCAAATGTAGTATCCCCTTTATAGTCCCTATAATAGTCCCTAAACCGTAAACCCTAAACCCTAAATAATAGTTGCTATTTCCTTTTCCATTATCCCAATATAACCCCTATATAACCTTAGCATTACCCCCGAAGCTCAAATATAGTATCCCCTTTATAGTCCCTGTAATAGTCCGCTTTCTATATCTCAAGTGGAGGCATGTGCTCTCCGACAGCAGCTTTTCGGATTGGGATCGGGTCAGCGAGCGCGCGGCGGCGGAGTATGTGCTCGGTGAAGGCTTACATTTGTTGGGAAGGGGGGTTGAAGAAGGTCTGGGGGGGTTAGGGGTTGAGGGTTTAGGGGTGGAAGTTTGGGGATTGGGGTTTAGGGTTTAGGTGGAAGTCTGGGGTTTGGGGTTTAGGGTTGAAGGTCTGGGGGGGTTGGGGTTTAGGCTTCAGGGTTGGGTTTAGGGCTTTTAGGGAATTCGGGTCGTGTTTGGATAGGAACTGCCCGCACCCTTTCTAAATGGGGGAAACTCGATGAATAACACCAAATACTATAAGCCGTCTGATGGGAGCCCCTTCAAAGGGTACCTCTAACTTCGGTAAACCCTAAACACTAATCCCCCTAAACCCTATAAACCCCTACACTAGAAACCCCGACATATCCCTATGTACCCCTAGAAACCCCTATATGCCCCTAAGACCCCCTTTGTATACTCCCATATAGCCGCTACAAACCCCATGTAAACATGCTTGGACCTCACAGGCAACAGCCACCTTGACGCAAGATAAGGGAAGCTGAAGGTATGCAAGTACCTTGCATTTGTTTTTTTTCTTGGGTACTGCCCCCCCTCAGTAACAGTTGGATAACGATTATAATATGGTTACACATAGCCCTTAATAGGACCCCTAGTATAGACTTAACCCTAAACCCTAAACCCTTACTGTAACCTTACTGGGTGGGGGCAGTACCCAAGCTTTCCCATTTAAAAGGGCACCCCGAACTTTGGGAAGCCCATCTCAAAGGTCTGAGCCTCAGCTTGTCTACCGCGAGGGCTTGCGTAATTCAAGGTTTGGGTTTTAGGGTTTAGGGTTTAGGTTGTAGTGTTTAGGGTTTGACGGTATAGAATTGGGTTTTAGGGTTCAGGGTTTTAGAGTGTAGGGTTTCAGGGTTTTACAGTTTCAGGGTTTCAGGGTTTTAGGGTTTAGGGTTTGGGAAGGAAGCTCTGTCCCGCTGTGGTTGATTGGTTAGGTTATTGCAAATATTGCGGCTTTTCATGTAACTCGTCAGGCGGAAGTGCGATCGTAGCTTGAACTTTATGATGTGTCAAGAGGCCCTGCAATTATCATCCAGTGAACCTACTGTGGCCTGTGGTCTCAAAATGATGGTCATGGCCCAATGCGAAGGATGCTTACTTTGGCAACCACCCCAAACCCTCAACCCGACAAACCCCATGGAACCCAAACTTTCAAGTCAAAATCTGTGGACAAAGAACCTGAACCCCCCAACTTCTTCTTAGGCGGGGGGGAAATGGGCGGCTAGAAGTTACAGGGGCGAAGCCCCCAAACCCCCAAAATCCCAGGCCCTAAACCCCAGACTCTGCCAACTCTCGGGTAGATTTCCGCGGAGTCCAGAGAGGACAGACCATGTGAGAAATCTCTGGATTTTCTTGCAACGTTTAGGCTTCATAGGGTCTAGGCCTCCTAAACCCCGAACGCTAAACTTTTAAACCATCAACCCAGTCTACCCCAGAGTCGGACGGGATGTTAGCCAGGCCATCCTCCCACCACTACGATGTCGGCTTCCTCTTGGGTCCACATTCTTGACTCCTAGCTAGGTCTTCTGGATTGCTGTTGAGGCGGCTAAAATAAGCTACAAAAACCCTGAAACTCGTGGCCAAGTATCATGGTAGCTTACCCTAAGGCTCCAAATAGCCCAATGTAGGTCGTATTTATAGACTTTGGGGCCCAATGTAGGCATTATTTATAGACATGGAGCCTTAGGGTTAGTTTAAGTTCCTCAACTGTAATCCGTCCTTCCAGCAGGATAGGGCCCACATGGGTACGACGTTTTTTAGGAGCCAGGCTTCATTATATGAGGAGCTTTCCCAAAACTAGGGTTTAGGGTCTAGGGTTTAGGGTTTAGGGTTCAGGGTTCAGGGTTTAGGGTTTAGGGGTACCTTCAGAGGGGTCCCAATGAGAAGGATTAGCAATTTTGGGTTCATATTGGGGTCCCCTATTGTTGGGAAACTGCCATATGAGCTGGTGCTAAGGGAGGATGAAGGGTGGACATGGGGGCCCCTTTCATCGTCTAGTATGGGTCTTAATGTATTCCGAATACGGACCCAGGTCTCTAGTTCATGTTAGAAATATCAATCGCAACAGTTAATCCCGTATGAAATCACAGTTTCCATTTCATGTTCCGTGTGCTTTTCATTTCTCATTCTAAAATATTCGTATATCTACCCGTATAATCCTGCAAAATCCATATAGCCGACTGTAGCTCATATGTGTTTGCTTATGAGCTCCTACAACGTGGATCCTGCATGCTAGCGGATTCCCGCGGCGTATGTTAAAGTGACCCCTCTAATCTCTTCCTCATATTAATAACCCCCCCCTAATAATAAACAATAAATCCGGGAACCGAAAAATTCCTCATGAGCAATTTAAAAGGGGC